GTGTAATCACTGGGGTATACACCTAAAACTAATATAATATTATGTTGAATGTAAGTGAAAAATTAAAAATGATTTTAATAAATTTTTAAAAAGAAAATGTCCTAAATTAATATAGATAGATAGATAGATAGATAGGATGGAAAGAAGAAAGAAAGAAAGAAAGAAAGAAAGAAAGAAAGAAAGCAAGCCCGCCTGCCCTGGCCAGGTGGCTCAGCTGATTGGAGCATCGTCCCATACATCAAAAGGTTAAGGGTTCAATGCCCAGTCAGTGCACATATTGGAGTTGCAGGTTCGGTCCCCAACTGGGGCATGTGTGGAAGGCAACTGATTGAGTTTCTCTCTGTGTCTCTTTCTCCCTTCCTCTCTCTCTAAAATCAACTTTTTAAAAATCCTCAGGTGAGGAATAAAGAATAATAATTTTTTTTTCAAAAACCCTTTTACCCCAGTTACAGATAAAACTTACTACACAGGACTACTTAGGTAGTAAAGATGATATAGATACAGATATAAAATTCAGTGTTGACTGAGTTTGAAAAAAATTGTTTTATGGGACACGTTAATTTTTGTTGAAGCTGAGTGATGCATAAACCTGGCTTTTTATGAGCTCACAAGGTGATTCTAATATGCAGTGTTCTTCAGGTTGAAACCACCAGCCTGAACTAATGGGATGACTGCACAGAGAAAAAAACAAGTGTGAGAGCTTTAAAGGACCCACAGGCCTTGGTGACTGAATGAAGAGTTAGAGGGAGTCAAGGATGACTTCTAGGTTATTGACTTGAGAGCACAGCTAGACGGTGGTGCCACCAATCATCAATGTGAAAGAGAAAACTCAGTAAAATATAAAACACAATGTGCACGCTTTTTTGGAGAAACTTTGCCTTCCCCACTCTGTTCCACAAGTTCCATTAAGGCTGAGACTGTGTCTTGCTCACTTTGTCATCCCTGGCATAGTAGTTTGTACCTCATATAAATGAAATACATCTTTCATGAATGTCATTCAACTCTGTTAAGTCTTGTCTGCAAGTCAGTAGTACAACTTAGACATTTTTTCAAAACCTCACTCTATATAGCACTGACCACAGGGCTGACTTTATAGAAAATACTCAACAAATATAAGCTAACCAGATAATTTTTACCCAAAGACCAGTCAGACTGGAAATATTTCCAACAGCCTGCTAAGACACAACCACATAAAGCTATATCAGGCATGCCAAGTATGGCCAAAATTGAGGTCAGGATACTTGTTCTCAAGTCTGATCCTCCTCGTACTGTTAACAGTCCAGCCATATCTGAGTCAGGCAGACCTAGAACCCTTGAGTCTTACTAGATATCTCTCTCATCAACATGCAAACAGGTTTTAAAAGTCTTCTTTTTGACCTATAGTCTCTCTCACATCAATCCTCACCAACCCCTGTGCCCCTTACCAAAGGACCCATCGTCAGTTGTTACCACCTTCTCGCCAGCCTCCCTTCCTCCCAAATTCATCCTCTACATTGTAGCCATTTCAGGACGCCTCCAACAGTTCTTGTCATGTCACTACCTTGGCTGGCACCTTTCAGCAGCCTCAGCCCATGGCTCACAGAGTAAAATCCAAATGCTTAACCAATTCCTTCATAATCAGCCCTTAACATACTTTTCCAGCCTCATCTCCTTCCACTAAGAGCAGTGAGCTCTTCCCCCTAACATCTCTTCCCATGTCCAAAAGAGGCCTATTTCCCAAAGCCCAGTTCAAACACTTGCAGTAAAAAGCCTTCCCTGATCACCCAAAACATACACCCCACCACTTCTCTCAAACAATCTCTTTCCATTCTGAATTTTCAAAGTAATCCTAAGCATATTTCACTGTCCACAATACAATAGTTTCTTTTTTTTAAGATTTTATTTTTTATTTATTTTTAGACAGAGGGAAAGGGAGGGAGAAAGAGAGGGAGAGAAACATCAATATGTGGTTGCCTCTCATGTGCCCCCAACCAGGGACCTGGCCTACAACCCAGGCATGTGCCCTGACTGGGAATCGAACCAGCATCCCTTTGGTTCACAGGCCAGCACTCAGTCCACTGAGCCACACCAGCCAGGGCACAATACAATAGTTTCTTATGCGCTCTCCCCTCCTAGACTGCCTAGTTGCCTGTGAATAGGCTCTAGGTCTGGCTATTGCTTGATAACTTCCCCCTACTTCTCCCTCTATCAGCACTCCATGCTCATCCCATCCTCCACCCAAGAGTGCCTTACTAGGTAGAGTTCAATAAAAACCTAGTTCTTTGGCCTACTCAAGATTCAACAAGAGATACTGAGGACATAACAATTTCTCATTTTGTTGGGCATGACTGTAAGTCATGATAATATCGCAACTCCAGCAACTCATCTTGCCAGTGACTGAACCCCGTGCATCTCGGCATCATCCTATAGCTCTACGCTGGCACATCAACAGTCAGTGCAGTGAATGGATAAACTTTCTTTAGGAAAAAAATCCTCAAGAAGGCTAACAGCTACTGCATGTGACAGAAGTGGAAGGGAAGGTAGAGAAAGGAAAGGAGTGGCACAGAAAGGGACAGTGCCTGAAAGGCCTCTAGATTGTATCCAATGGCCTGGGAAATTTGTTGAATGAATACAATAATAAATTAAGAGATAAATTTCAAAACTGGAAAGAATAAAGTTTCTTCTTTCCCTATTCTATTTGCCTATATGGATTAAGCACTTTTTGGAACAGTGCTGTCCAACAGCATTTTCTGGAATGATGCATTCATCTGTGCTGTCTGCTACTATGGGGAGCCACACGGTTACTGAACACTTAAATGGAGCTAGTGACTAAGAACTAGATTTTTTGTTTTATTTATTTTTAATTAAATTTGTGGCCAGTGGCTATTGTATTAGCCAGTGAGTATCCACAATATGGGAAGTCTTCATTAACCTTATTTGAATTGTTGTCAAAAATGTTTTCTTCCTGGCTGGCGTAGCTCAGTGGATTGAGCGTGGGCTGGGAACCAAAGTGTCCCAGGTTCGATTCCCAGCTAGGGTACATTCCTGGGTTGCAGGCCATAACCCCCAGCAACCGCACATTGATGTTTCTCTCCCTCTCTCTCTCTCTCTCTCTCTGTCTCTCTCTCTCTCTCTCTCCCGCTTCCTTCCCTCCCTAAAAATAAATAAATAAAATCTTAAAAAAAAAGAAAAGAAATTAAAGATTAAAAAAAAAAATGTTTTCTTAACCAAATTAGACGAAGGTAATAAAAGTCCATGATCAATTTTCTATTTAATAAATGATTTATGTTTTTCCAATTTCACTTTAATTCCTCAACGGAAGGAAAGGGGAGTGTAGTTTAAGAAAGGAGGAGGAAGACTGCATCCATGGTCAAAATGTCTAAAAGCTGTACAAAAAGCTTCTCCGAGTGCTACTTCTCTTGATCCTCATAGTTATCTTTGAGATAGAAATTATCCCCCCTTTAAAGTAAAAAACCCAAGACTGAGAACAACTAATTGGCTTGCCTCTGATCACAGTTTAGTAAAACTAGGATTCAAATCCATGTCCAACTACAGACTGAGCCCTTAAGCATTGCACTTTAACTGCTAAAACTAAAATAGGCTGGATGGAAAGTAGGTTAGGTAGCTCCCAGCCAACTATGTTATTCAGAGCACATTAAAAGCGAAACCAGCCAGCTTACTTGATAAGACACTAAGGATGTATCCAAGCAACATTTCCTGATGTCTGATAAATGATGCTCAACACATTCACTTGCTCCATAAACAAGCAGGATCCTAAGTTGGGAGACACAGCAGTGAACAAAACAGAAAAAAGTCTCTGCGCTCATTGGGGTTTATATTCCAGAAAGGGATTTTTTTTTTTAAATTAGGAAAGATTTCTAAAGGGACTGATCAAACATCTGAATAAAAGTTAGCTATGTGGAGAAATGGAAGAAGACTGTTCCAGGTCAAAGGGAACTGTAAGGACAAAGAAGCAGAGGTAGAAGCATGTTGGAATGTACAAAGAACAGCAAAGCAGATGCTGTAGCGAGAGCACCATGAATGAGAAGTCAGAAATAAGGCAACAGTGTTAACCAGGGACCAGACCCCATTGGGACTTGAAGGCCATTGTAAGGCTTTGGAATATATTTTAAGGTCATGGAGAGCCATGTAGTGGGGAGCAGAGGGGAGCGGAGATGGGTGTATTGAGAAGAGTGGGGGAGACAGGATCTGATTTATGTTTCAAAGAGAATAGGCTGTGGGGAAGCAAAATTAAGGAGAAAAAGTAAAAGCAGAAAGACCATGTAAGAGGAACTTTTTGAGTGATGAAGAAAGTTTGGATTATAGGACAGCTACAGAGATGTAGAGTGGAACTGGAAACTTTTAAGTCAGACTTGAGCTAATTATGTACGAGCAAACCAATACTCATGGATGGACGGAAAGAAGGTTGGTTTCTAAGCAAGACACATTAACAAACTACTGTATACTCTCCAGGTTCTCCACGTACTCTCCAGGGCTCTCCAGGTTCTATTTACTATTCCTAAGAGCTATTTCCACATGCTCACGAACTCAAATCATCAAACAAAAAACTATTACCAGGGAAGTTCCCATAGAGTATGCCTACAGATAATCCAATTATGACAGATTTTTTGCTGTTTTTATATTTAAACGAGTATCTCTAAACAAGTACAAAAAAATGTGTAGCCAGCTCTCATAAAGTCAATTAAGCACAGCAGAATAACACTCCTGCAAAGCATTTTCTTGCTAATCTTGCCTTTCTTTGCATAATAAGCACCTTCAGCTGAAGGCCCTAACTGGACCCAAATGCCCAGTTAGGACCCTGCAACATTGTTTCCAAAGAGCTTAAATCAGAAGCCAGGAAATTAGGACACAAAAAAGGTGAAAGCAAGCTGTGGAGTCAGAACCTCCTGACTCTCTTTACCTATCTATCCTCCCTTGCCAGTTCAAAAACTTTTTTGCCCTGAAAAAATGGTTTGTTTAAGATGCACACTCCACTAGCTAGATGTTACCCTGACACATACCGGTATCTGCAGGCACCTGCAGGATAACCGTCAGCATAATCACCCTGTGTGAGCTCCTCCTTGCTGGAACCTGCCTGCAAAGCACAGCACATACTCGGTAAAACCGCTGAATGAAAAACCAGCTGCCCTCCACAATTTCATCCTTGGTAATGTGGTCCCAAAGCACTCATCAACTTCTCTTCCCAGGGTCCAAGTGCTGGACTACCCCTGACCTCACATACGGCCTCCCTGAAACCATTCTACCCCACCTCTCTGCTCTCAGCAACAAGCTCCATTTCGCTGGCCGTGTTAAACAATGTTACACAACATTCTGTGATTTACCAAAGGCTTCATAGAATGCCTTTGCTTTCTTTCTGCTTTTATTCCTCCGCTTTCAAAAATATTCATCTGATGTTTACCCTCCCGCGGCGGGGGTGGGGAGGAGGGGGGTCTAACAAGGTAAAAAGAGCAAAGAAAAAACTGGGGTGCCAGTCCCAGGTATCTCTTGTATTCCTTTACCTGTAAAGTGCAAATAACACACATGCCAGGCCTCCTTCAACAATGTAGTTCTGAAGTCTTATTCAGATGAGAAAAAGTCTGCAAACTGTCACGTGCCGCCCAAAGATCCCAGTAAAGATGCAATCAAAGCTTAACTCAAAACCAGCATCACCAAAACTAACAAAATATAACAGGTCGCGACCAGCACCGTGCAGTCACTCAAGAAACAAATCAAATAAGGAGTTATTCTCCTCCAACAACGAAATGAATAGGAGAAGCACAGTGACCAGGTTCCACGGTGTCCCTGGCAGTTAACTCTCCATCTCTGTACAATAAGACTTTTGACAATGAAGGATTCTAACAGTGTTAGGTTGAGGAACATGGAACCTATGAGGCAAACTGCCTTTACCTGCAGTGTCATAAAGACGGCACCAGAAAAGAGGTTCAGGACTAGACTGAGAGGCAAAGAGGGAGGTCTGGGCCACACAACGTCACTTACGAGCCGAGTGACCTTGGCCAACTTCCTTCCCAAGCAAGCCCCCCTCCAGCCGTGCATTTCTGTGTTGAAAGAATCCCAGCTGGCCCGGATCCCCGGGGATGCTAGGGAGGTCGGCGCGTGCCCGTTTGGCGCGTTGGCCAGTTACAGCCCCGGCTCTTCCCCACCCTTCACCCACAAAAGAGTCCCAAGCTCTTCCACAGGCGAGGGATGTACCCTTTCCGGATGCAGGACGTGCCAGGACAGCAGTTTCGATTTCCTAAGAAGGGTTAGTTCCCCAACCGTCCCAGTACCGCGGGCAATCAAAGAAGCATACCCGGACGCCCTCGGGATCCCCGCGGCTGCACTCAGTTCCGGCAGGGGATCTCCCAAGCGGGCTCCGCAGCTGGCCAGGGTCCCGTGGGGCCCCGGACCATCGGAGGGGCGTTGCCATAGGAATAGCTTTCAATACCCGCCCCCCCCCCCAACGCCCGCGCGCCCGGTAGAGGCTGGAGAGGACGGCTCGCGACGCCTGCTGTGTTCCATGCGACCACGTCCAGCCGTTGCCTCTCAGAGCTGCTCTGCCCATCTAGCAGCGCCCCCTCAGATCCCCGCCTTCCCGCGCAGCTCCACAAAAACCCTACCTTCCGCCATGTCGGGCCCGGCCCTGCTTGCAGCCTCGCGAGAAGAATTGGGGCGGTGCGTAACAGAGGCCACGGTTCTCGCGAGAGTCACGGGAGACCAAGCAAAGGGAGGAGCCGAGACTGAAAAAACGGTGAATGGAAGTGGGCAGGAGTAATCTGACCCTGGAAAAACCGAGATCTTGTCTGTCTTCAGCTAGTGCCTTCTAAACGCGGGACTGATCAGGCACTTACCGGGCGCTATCATATTGCACTCCCTAGGGAGGGCACCGAAAAGGACAGACAGAACGAGCGTAGATTACTCTGGAAAAACTTAGCTCAGAGGGTCTAGCAAGGGGATTTTTTTGTTTATTATTATTGTTGTTTTATGGCTTTAGGTTTGTATGTAGTGGTATGAGGCTGAGAGAAAAAAGCCAAAGGAAAGGAAAAGGCTAAAGACGATTACAGGTCCCTGGGGAGGCGGGATGCCCCTGCAAGAGAATGCAGAAGGAATTCTGGGGAAGGTACACACTTTAGACTAGAGGCAGGTCACTGTTGTTGGACTAAAACATTAGGAAACAAGAACATGCATGCAGTTAGATGTGGGAGAGTATTGAGGAGGATGTTTGATGACATTAATTTTATGGTTGAAGTTCTTAGGCAATGAAGGGGACCAGAAGAGAGTGAAGAAAATTTGGGAGGACTCAGGTTGGAGGGCCTGCTTTCAGGGGTCTCTCTTGTATGTATTTTTTCTAGCAAACTCAGCCGCCTGGCTGCAGAAGTGGAGAGTACAGATTATAGCATTTGTTCAGGGCTTGGGAGTTATTCCCCCAAAGGAACTGAGAGTGCTGTGAGAATACAGCTCAAGTGCAGGCTGTGTGAAGACTGATGCAGAGTCATGAAACGCCAGGTTTCTTCAAGATTGAAGACCAGGCAGTGTGAACAAGGTAGTGAGAGCCCTGGGTCAGAGTAACAAACTGAAGTTCCTAAATTAAACAGCACTAGGAAGTGATAAAGTCCAGGATAAGGTCATGTAATACAGTAGGTGAAGTGAAGGGAAAAGATAGGGAAATTAGATATTGGAATTTAGAGGTTGGGAAAGAAGATCATAAACCAGGTGCTAAAATCTTTAGTGAATGTGTAATGACCAATAGCAAAAAAAAAAAAAAAAACAAAAACAAAAACCAACCCCAGAAAACCAAAGAGTCATATAACTAAATAGCATGAGACATTTCGAAAAAGATTTTTACTCAAAGGAGAATCGAAGAATGGGAATGAATGCTGCATGGCCCTGACATGTGTGGCTCAGTTGGTTGGGGTGGTCAGGGCAACAAGCCTGGGTTGCAGGTCCCTTCCCCTGCTGGGGTGCGTGCTAGAGGCAACTGATTGATGTTTCTCTCACCTACCAATGTTTCTCTCCTTGACTTTCTCCCTCTTCCCCTCTCTCTAAAAATAAGTAAAATCTTTCAAAAGAATGCTGCATGTACCCACTCCTAGTAGCATCGACAGTTAGGGACTGCAGGGGAAGTGTTGGCCTTGGAGAAGAGCCAAGAATAAAAGATGCTAGTTTGAAGGAAGGGTCTGAGACAGGATGAGGGTGTCAGAAGAGAAAAAAGGGGAGGATTTGAAGTTGAAGTTTTAGGTGCTGCCGAGGTTTAAGTGTGGGTAGTGAGGTGAAGTGGAGAAGGAATTTAGAGTTTAGAACATGGAAACAGTCATGGGTTAAAATTTTGAGGGAGAGTAATTCTGGCTGAGGGACACCTAGGGGATGGAAGGGAAGAGGGTATTGACATATGTGAGAACAGCCATGGCTGGTTAGCTCAGTGGATTGAGTCCTGGCCTGTGAACCAAAGGGTCACAAGTTCTATTCCCAGTCAGGGCACATGGCTGGGTTGTGGGCCAGGTCCCCAGTAGGGAGAGGCAACCACACACTGATGTTTCTCTCCCTCCCTTTCTCCCCACCTTCCCCACTCTAAATAAATAAAAAAACTTTAAAAAATAAAAGAAGAAATATGTAAGAACAAAGGTGTATGCTCAGGGAATGCTCAAGGAAATGATGTTCCGGTTGTAGTGGGTGACAATATGGCCAGAAGGTATGGGAGGTATAGGCAGGGGGGTATTTAGAGGAGCTGTACTGAGCCAGCAGCACTTAGACTAAGGAGGGGAAGGGGATACTGTATTGCCATGTATTGCCATGGAGATGCCATAGCTCAAAATCTTCAAGCTTGGCTTATGAGTGTGGCAAATGGTGAGCCCTTGGGGGCCATCAGGGTGGCCAGGCAAGCCAGTTTTCTCTGGCCACAAGCAGCCTCATCTGTTTATCTTAACACTACCCTACCAATAACTTCTGGGTCACAACATAAAAAAGTTGAGAACTGTTGTAACTGATGCCTGGTTTTACAGCATATAACTTACCTTTGTCTCACTAACACCAGCCTCGCTAGCGTCTGGCATACAGCAGTTGTTCAGAACGTTTGAAGAGTTGTGAGCACTGTGACCTATACTGGGAGTCTGGAAAACTGGGTTCAAGTTTGGCTCTGCAGATTATTTGCTGTGTTGATCACGGACAAGTCCCTGCAAGATTTACACTGCCATCTCAAATTCTCTTATTCAAGAGGGAGTTGGACTAGAATCCATGGTTTTTAATGATTTGGAGAGTCATGATTCCCATTGAGAATTTAATGAAAACCCTCTCCCTTAGGGGAGCACACACAGGAATAAACAAATTTGTGCCCTTTCAGTTTGCTCGGATGAGAGGCCCACAGTCAAAAGAACTCACTTTTAAGAGATTTAATCAACTGAAGGACTTGATCAAAACCTACCTTCAAGAAGTCCTCTGTCAGAGGTGAAAGCACTCCTGTTAGAAATGCTTTTCATATAACCCTATCTCTGGGCTCTTGTCTCCTGAGTGGGCTCTTTAACTGGCTTGAATCCTCTGAGTTTATAGACTTCATAACAAAGCCTGTAAAATAAAGCATCTGTAGTCCTCAGTGAACTGCAACATCCAACAGGCTTGGATGGAGCTGCATTAGATATGACCTGAAAGTCATCTTGAAAAATGAAAGCACTAGAAAACATGGCTCATTTTAAACTTCAGATTTTGCTATCAGATGAAGAGAAACAATGTGGAGTTGTCTAGGGCTGGGAACATGAAGTACAGAAAGGATAAATGCTGACTGCCCTAAGAACACAAGGGAACAGATTTTCTGGGAAGGCTATGACATATCATGTGGTAGGAGGAGGAAGGGAGGGGATCACTAGACTGGTAGTCCAATGAATTGGGTTCAAGTACCAACCTCAACATAACCACTCTATACGTGACCTTGGAAAAGATGTTCCTGAGGTAAGGAGTAATGGCACCCAGTATGTCAGGAAGGTCATGGAACTGAATCCTGGCTGTGGAATTTGCTTGCTCTACAATCTTGACAAATTTATCTGAACCTGTTTCCTCATGAGAAACTATTACCTTGAAGGATCCATGTAAGAATTTTGCTAGGTCCTTTATAAAACCTAGCACAAGCCTGCCATTAAGTAGAATCTCAATAAATAGGAACTGGTGCCTTTGAGGAATAAATGTCACAAGTCCTAGTATACTTATCCATAGTGGATACTGCTGGGAAGGGAAAAAAAAAATCAGTATCTTTCCTGTGGCTTACTGTGCAGCTCCTAACACCTCAGATGTGTCTGGTTGCTTGTGATTTTTTTTCCTTCTCTTTCAGTTTATTCCACTATATGACTAGGATTCAAAATTCTTTAATCATTTCACTACAGCTCAGTGTGATGTGCTGATTCAACAAGCCAAAAAACCTAATCCTACCTGGGCAGATTATACACATCTGAAACAGAGCAACCAAAAATACCTTATCCTGGAATTAACTTGCTCTGCAAACTAAATCCTGTTGAGGTTTGCAGTCCTCCAGAAAATGATAAATTTTAATGTAATATGGTGGTAACAGTCCTATCTCTATTGGAGGAGGAGGGGAGAAAATCAACTGGTCTTTCTCAAAGCCTAATTAGCACCTTGCACACAGCAGACACACTCAAAACCTCTTCTGCATTTGAAACAGTTTGCAGGGAAAAAAAATTTTTGCTATGTACATTGAGTAGATGGTTATGCATAAAACTGATAAAGTTCAGAAACATCACCCATATTCTCCTGAGTTTTATTTCAATATATTTACCAGGGAAACTAAACTCTGAATATGACTCCCAATCCTCCTGAATTGCTCTCAAGGATTTTCTTGTTTTTAATTAAGTTCATGTTCTTTTCTCAGTTTGTAAGAGGCCTTAATGACCACTGGCAGCTTGTATCAAGACAAATGAGCTTTCAATACCTAACACTGTATATCCATATGACCTATATATTTAAGGATTCAGGGCAAGAAGCTTGTGACATCTTTTTTTTTAATATATAGATTTTATTTATTTTTAGAGGGGAAGGGAGGCCAAAACAGAGAAACATTGATGTGTGAGAGACACATCAATTGGCTGCCTCCCACACACCCCCAAGTGGGGAACTGGCCCACAACCCAGGCATGTGCCCCAACTGAGAATCAAACTGGTGACCTTTTGGTTCGCAGGCCAGCACTCAAACCACTGAGCCACATCAGCCAGGGCAGTGACATCCGCTTTTAAAAAAAGGAAAAATACTCAAGTCTTGTTGCTTCTTTTGCCACTAACTTACTAGGTGGTCCTGGGCAGGTTTTGGCCAAGGGTGCCCGTCTATTTAAAGGAGGGTAAATGGTGACTGAGATAGTACCTGTGGTCTCTTTCAGTTCACATGAGTCTAAGCTCTTCACCCTTTGCTTATCTTTATAGTAGAGCCAGTTAGGCCAAAGTGTGTGTGTGTACTCATTTTATTTACATTCTAAATCAGCATCACAGAAAACTCTGAGTAAAGACAGGTGCTTGGCCCTGTACTAGAAAATGTAAGACTATTATATCAGGTTAGAAGTCAACTCCCCGCCCTCTGGTTTCTTCTTTAAATGCAGTTTTTAAAATTATCAAGGTTCCCTTGTGGACCTTTTGGTATCATGTGCCGATAAAAAGAATCCCACAACTCACTTTTGAGACCTGCACCCTAAAACCAAAATAGCTCATAATACAGCCTCTAAGTCATCATTTATTGATTTATAGAGCCCCCATCACATGATCGAGGTGCTTTACAATACAGTAAACATCACAACAGAACTCACATAGTTAAGTACAATCAACAAATTACAGATCTAAAAACTGGAATGAAGCAACATCATGTCAAATTTCAAAGATGCTGAGAAGTGGCAGACAAAAAAGGTAATTCCACCAACTGGAGACCAGATGGGCAAAAATACACAGGCACCACAACCCAAAATGGGCTAATTTGTAGAGGGTGAGTGAGCATATAAACTTCACAACCAAGAAGGAAGGCCACTAAAAAAATACTGACACCCAAGTGATCACAGAGTCAGTGGAATAACCTCACAAAGATATTACCTTATAATGACAAGAAAACCAACCTCATAGATTTTAAACTCACAAAGAGGCCAAAAGCCACTCAGACCATCCACCCCATTATGAGCACAGACTGAAATCTATAAACCTTTACAAGAACTTGGAATAAATTTAGGAAGCAGTCAACAGTTCTATAATCCATAAGACTATGTAGATGTCAATAGTTGGCACAAGGTTAGGGAGAGAAGTCCTTTTCCCAAAGCAAAAAGGACTCACCTCACACTAATGGAGAGGCACTGGTGGGACAACAGCCACTTGCATCAGTGTCACCCAAGTGTGATTTAATAACAAATATAGAGGCATTTAAATTCACACTATCAGATGAACTCTTGGAAAGGCACAGATGACACCTTTGACAGAAGAAAATAAGTCAAAACAACCATCAAGAAGGTCCATTTCCTTATGTAGTAGGTCAGGGCACCAGGTGGAAAGGAGTGTGAAGGGAGATACATTCATTCCTGGCTCCCCCTTATACTCCCCTAGATCTAAGCCCTAAACACATACGGTAATACCAAAGTAACTGCATTAAAGTGGCATTTAAAAGTTCAAGAATAGTTGTCCCTGAGTTACTAGGTCATTTGCTATTCCCTGAAGAGTCAAATTGCCAGGTTTTAACTCAACAGATAGCTTGCAGAATCTTAGCAACAGGAGAGCAAAATTCAGACTCTATTTTGTCACAACCTCCACTGTGTGAACAATTTCTGATTTAAGAGTAAAGAACTTGTGTTCAAAGTCCCAGGGAGGTATACAATACTGGTGCTTTAGGGCAACAGTTTCTTAGTCTTTGTGGGGAAAAGAAGTCAGAAAGTTCTTTAAAAAAATTAGGCCTCAATGAATAATATAAACATATTCACTTTCAGTTATTACACATTTATAGGTTTTTATATGCTTCAGAGTCAAGAACAGGCTGGAATTTAGAAAAATCACTCTGTGGTGACTACATTCTTAACCATTTCACTTCTGCTTAAAAAAGGCCATGAACAATTTGTAGAGGACTAGGCTGCTTGCAGGAACGCTTTCACTGTTCTGCCAAAGTGTTTCTCCAAATCACCCAGAGCAAAAATGCACCACTTCTCAGTGATTCTCACAATTAAACGCCATGTCCCACCTGGGACTGTATCACCTTCTAGCCCTTATATGCCAAGACTACTTCCCAACCCCAACCTTACACCAAACAGAGAAGAATCTGGACCTGCCTTTAACACTGCACGTTTATTTTACCACTTCCTAAATGAGAAAAATTATAAAATATATTTATGTTCAAATGTTAAAAAATCCAAGTGCACTATGTCAGTGACAGAATCTGTATGTCAAGCTAACAAAGCATTTACACCTCTGTAATGCTTTGAGATTCACATAAGAATCTAGACAGAGAAATATATATACTGCCATGGTCACGTGATTTTCAAGTATTAAGTCTGTTTGCATAAGGAATCAACCTGAGATTTTTCTAAACTGAACTTCTCTGATATTCAGTATTATACCCTTCATTCAATATAATAAAAGCCAACAACTTGACAATTATTGGAAAAAAAATTATATTTTGGAAGAACTCACTACATAAGGTGACAGAATTCCAAAATCAAATTACATGAAAATATACATCGCAATTTCTTTATACAATAAGTGAGAAAAATCTGCAGTATAGAAGAATAGAGGCAAAGAAATATGAAGGGCAAGGAGAAGGGTATGAGGCAAAATAGCATTTTTCATAGCAAACCCAGAAGTTAAGTATGAAGCCTGTAGTAGTGCATGCTTTATTCATTGAACCTTAACATTTGGTAGCTGGAAGATAAAAATAAAACCAAATCAGAATTTTGTATAATTTGGGGTAAATTTCAGTAAGTGAATTCAGAACCAACTCTTTTTAGTCCTTGGGAATAATGACGGTTCAAGAGCTCTCAACAGCCAAAATATGTTATTGCTACATCCGATCCAAGTGATGGGTGCAACTGGAATACAAAAAGGACCGAGCACCTAGTGATGACCACTCCTCTGAAGTCATCATTAAAAATCAAGTAGCTGCTTATTAAGTATTTCAGTATTTGACCTAAATGATTTGAAAACTTTCTGGCAGATAGAAGAGATAAAGATAAACACAAAGGGAACTGTGTCAAAACAAAGAAGATACAAAAGTTTAGTAAATGAAAAGTTTAATGAAGCCTCAATGGTTTAAAGGAAATTAAATGGAAACTTTTAATCCTAATTGCTTTTCATCTGACATGCTTTAAAGAGTCTTTTAAAACATAAGAAACAATGAGTAGGGGAAGAAAACTTGCTAAAATCTTTTAGAATTTACACGATTCTTATTCTACTACAAGAAAGCATTATTTGGTACAAGGTGTATTTGTGGATGTACATGAACAGTATATATATTATCCGGATCATGTTGTGCTATGTACAGGTCTTTACAATTCTTCCTGAAGGTTAAAACAGTTCATTAGAATTCAAAATGCGTAATCATCTGTAAGTTGGCACTTGTTAGGCTCTTGTCAGCATCGATACTGGCATGTTTTATTGCAGCCCAGTTCCAGCCAGTGTTTGCCAACTTGTTACAACAGAAGTCCAGCAATAGGTGGGTAGAGTGCAGGAAAAACAGTGCCATGTTTCTCAATTGGAGACCTACAACAAAACAAACAGCATTATATAATAAATTTATAAATCACAAAGTAACTGATTATAAATTTTTATTCATATGCTGTTTTTTAAAAACAAATTCTCATTTTCATTTTAAACTCCCTTCTGTGCCATATTTAAGGATACTAAGAAACAATTTAAGACTGCCACACTTCTCAACTTGATCAATTTTATCCAATTCTCTAAGTTCAGTCCAAACACATTTTCTCCGTGAAGCCTCCCACAACTGACCCCTTGTCCCAATTATAGTTTTCTACTGTTTTGTGTCTGCTGGTCTCATGTCCTCTACCAGCCTATAGAAGTCAATAACTACATCTAAGTAAAAACAACTACACTCTTATCTAGTGCTTATTGTGGCGCAAGCAGTGTGTGCAGTGCTTTATAAACTTGTCTCATGTCATTCTCATAATCACCATAGGAAGGAATTTTGCCCTATTTTACAGAGAAAAGTAAGACAAGGTCACATAGCTAATAAATGGTAAAGCTTCCTGCTCAAAAAGTTAGAAAAACACTAGTGTCATTTAATGACTGGACTTCAAGAGCCTTTATTATATTAACATGTGCTTTGAACATGTAGGAGGAGCAAGGGAAGGGAATGGGCAGGAGAACTCCTACTAAAATTACCAGGTACAGCAAATCAAATGTTCCACAAACTCAGGAACCTGTACTGTGTGCCAAGCACATTGTTAGGCACAAAGAACTTGAATAGAAGATGACTGGGAATTTAAGAGTTTTAAACTCCTAATGAAGAAGCCAAATGTACTTAGAGTTATGGAAATATTTAACTCACACTACACATGTGAAAAGTTCAGTATGTCATTTACAGACCCGAATGAAGTTATCAATCTTACAATCACCCAAATGCAACCCTATCAAAGCTCTGTTGTGGTAGTAAGAGAACTGTGGGCCTCCCTGTGGCCCTACATGTGCCTGGCTCCTGAGCAGAAAGAACTACTGCTAAATTTCTTTCCACAGGGGTTTATCAATCAATGTGAATGGTCCCTAGCAAAGCAATGAATGCACCAAATATGAAATGTATCATCTTTACCAGAATCAATTTCCACCATTTGCACACATATATACATATGTGCACACATTTTTAATTAGAAAATCTAAAGACATATGACTCATACTGAATGAACTCAAGAGACATTGTTATAGAATAGTAGTGCATCTTTTAGGTAATGTTATTTGAATGTTTTCCCAAAGACTATATCATACTCAAATTAATCCCTGGCCAATTAATCTCTCAGGGCTCAAACAGAACTGGGTACAGAGTTTGGGCACTGAGTAATCATTTCCCTGTGATATTTCAGGGCCACAAAAAGAATCAATCAAAAACTGTTTCTGTGTGAGGTTTTTAAAGAAAAATACTCCAGAGAAGTAACTGATGAAAGTCATTACCTGAAATCAGGCAATCCAGCCTTTTAATACTGAGGACCCAGTTTAAACAGCATTCGCATCCATCAGCAGGAAGAGAAAAATCTATTTCCTCCCTCTGAATAAAATGCATTCTCAACAGAGAAAAAGCCTCAGCACAGAAAAAGCAAGTCTGTTGTTCTTTTCTCTAGAAAGATTGATGTGAAAACAAATTACTTGCATAAGAGTCATTCACATTTGTGTAAGCATATCCCATTTCTAACCTAAATAAATCTACCTGTTGTTAAAATCACACCCTTTTTATATTGAGATTGTATCAGTTATATGTCCTTATGCAATAATATAAGTATCTGCATTTTGTTTCCAAACTTCTCTTAATTATTCCTGACTTTAACCTACAAATCTAGAGAGGACTTACCTTGACAGAACGTGTCTTGTTCCATTTATCTCTAAAATTAAAAACAAATCATTTTTTTAAAGATTTTTTTTAATTTGTTTTTTAGAGAGTGGGGAAGGGAGGGGGGGAGAGAAACACCAATGTGCAAGTGAAACATTGATCAGTTACCTCTCGCATGCCCCCAACTGGGCCCACAACCCAGGCATGTGCCCTGACTAGGAAACAAACCAGCAACCTTTTAGTTTTGCAGGCTGGAATTCAACCCCCTGAGCCACACCAGCCAGGGCAAATCATTCATTTTCTATGTGGCTATCCAACTTAATCTTTTAAAAATGCCCCAAAAATACAAAGCAGACAAATATGCTTTCAAATAAAAACCACTTTTTGATATCACAGACAATAATAAACATTCTACTCACTCAGGAGTATTCAAATAATCTCAACTATTCTTAAGTGAGAGCAGTCCAGAGTGAAACAGCTTTCACACAGCTATTTCCAAAAGTACTAATTCATCCTAACCTGCCACTTAGCATATTACTAGACAACAACTTTCCCCACATCACCAAGCCACTGGCTTTTCCCCTAAACTGATCTATGTATTTGTATTTATATTTTTATGTATATATGTTTTAATTTTTATTTTTTTTATTTTTAGAGAGAGGGAAAGGGAGAGAGAAAGAGAGGAAGAGAAAACATCAATGTGTGGTTGCCTCCTACACACTCCCTACTAGGGACCTGGCCTGCAACCCAGGCATGTGCCTTAACTGGGAATTGAACCAGTAACCCTTTGGTTCTCAGCCCAGCATTCAATCCACTAAGCCACACCAGCCAGGACTTCCCCAAACTGATTTTTATGGCAGTCTTTTTCTTATGCCGTGGCATTGATGACCATCCACATCCACTTCCTTTCTGAGGTTTGTAATGCCTCTCTTTCCTTGTGGCCAACAAGCCCACGTTTCTGTATTTGTTTCCTCCTTCTGTGCCCTCACTGTGAAAACGGTACAAGATGTCCTTGGCCCTGGTAAGTACAGCTCTCTACACTCAGTGAATTTCTGTCTCTACTCTGGAGACTTCCAATCTCACCAGCAACTCTACGTCTACCCTCTGTCCCAAACATCCTAACCATTCAGTATCCAGACATGTGATGACTTGTCAAAACCATGCTCTGCTTCTATTCCCACTAAAGCTCTTAATGTGATTTAACCTTACCTTTTTGTTATGACTCATGTAACTGGCTCAATTAACAGCTTTTTAACTGGTAGGGATCATGTACCTATAGAACTATCGTGCCTTTGCAAACAGTAGGCTATTAACAACTATTCACTGGCAAGAACTGAAATGAGCTCAGTGTCGCCTGTTCTTCCTGTTACCTCTCATTTCGAGATACAAATCTTGATTCTTAGTAATATGCAAAACTGTTAAAAAGGGAAGCAGATATGTATATTATTGAACTAGCAAAATATCAAGACTGTTAAAGAAATTGTATGGGGGACTTCCGGCAAGATGGAGGAATAGGTGGACGCACCGTACCTCCTCACACAACCAGGATTAGAACAACAATAATTTATAGACAGAATAACACCCAGAACTGATAGAGGATTTATCTGAATGGAAGTCGGACAGCCAAGAAGTTGAAGTAGACCCGTACATCCAGACTGGTAGGAGACGACGAGCCGGGCGGGCGCGGGGCTGGTGCAGGTCGGTGGCGCACAGAGGTCGGGGAAAATTTGGCGCAAAATCGGGGCGACAGCCATCCGGGGTGCAAGAATGCAGCGGTGATCCCTGAGTATGCAAGCTGTGGCTGGTGGACCCAGTGAGGCAGCGATTGTGGACCAGGGCAGAGCTCGCAGCCCAGGATCCCAGAGCAGGGACTGAGCCCAGGAGAACGGAACTACCGCCATTGTTCCCTCCCGTCCCCACTCCCGCCCCCGCCCCCACCCCCACCCCCACATATAACGTCACAATCTAGCGACTGGGGTGCCCAGCCCCGGTGAACACCTAAGGCTCCACCCCCCCACCGTAACAAAAGCGACCAGACCGGAAGAAAGAAAGGAGAGGCAGGGAAAGACATAAGACATGTTTCCAACAGAACAGATCAGTCCCCCAGGACTCATCCTTTTGAGCAACCGAGAAATAGCCAATCTATCAGATGCACAGTTCAAAACACTGGTGATCAGAAAGCTCACGGAATTGGTTGATTTGGGGCGCAATTTAGATGAAAGGATGCAGGTTACCATAAAAGAGATGCAGGAAGATACGCGGAGGAGAGCCAATAGTGAAAGGTAGGAATCTGAGTCTCAAAACAATACAGTGGACCAGAAGGAAGATAGAATCAACCAAGCAGGAAAGCATGATGAAATAAGAATTCAAAAAATCGAGGAAAAGCTTAAGAGCATCCAGGACACCTTTAAACGTTCCAACATCCGAATTATAGGGGTACCAGAATGGGAAGGGGAAAAGCAGCAAATTGAACACGTATTTGAACAAATAATAAAGGAGAACTTCCCCAATCTGGCAAAGGGAACAGTCTTCCAAGAAATCCAGGAAGCTCAGAGAGCCCCAAAGAAGTTGGACCCAAAAGAAACACACCAAGGCACATCATAATTACATTAGCCAAGGTAAAAACGAAGAAGAGAATCCTAGAAGCAGCAAGAGATAAGGGGACAGTCACCTACAAAGGAGTTCCCATCAGACTGTCAGCTGATTTCTCCAAAGAGACCTTACAGGCAAGAAGGGGCTGGAAGGAAGTATTCCAAGTCATGAAAGGCAAGGACCTACATCCAAGATTGCTCTATCCAGCAAAGCTCTCATTTAGAATGGAAGGGAAGATAAAGTGCTTTTCAGACAAGGTCAAGTTAAAGGAGTTCATCATCACCAAGCCCTTATTGTATGAAATGCTAAAGGGACCTATCTAAGAAAAGAAGATAAAGAAAAGACATGTATAGTAAAAGGACAGCAAACTCACAATTATTAACAACCACACCTAAAGCAAAATCAAAAGAAACTAAGTAAACAACAAGAACAGGAACAGAACCACAAAAATGGAGGGCACATGGAGGGCTAGCAGCAGGGGGATGGGAGGAGGAGAGAGGGGGAAAAGGTATAGAGAATAAGTAGCATAGAATGTAGGATGAAAATAGATAGGGGGAGGGCAAGAATAGTACGGGAAATGTAGAAGCTAAAGAACTCGTAAGTATGACACATGGACATGAACTAAAGGGGGGGAACATGGGTGGGAGGGGAATACAGGGTGGAGGGGAGAGAAAGGGGGAAATGGGACAACTGTAATATCATAATCAATAAAATATATTAAAAAAAGAAATTGTATGGAATGTGTGCTATGTATGTTACTGAGCTAGCAAAATAACAAAATGTAAATTTTTTTGATACATCATTTGAACTTATTTAATTAATAATACACTATCAAGTATAATAAAATTCTTGGTTATTTGCTGAATTTATAAAATGCTGTTCATGTAAGGTAAACTCACACATAAACTTAGGCTTCAATATGGTATTTTGTTCCTTGTCAATTCTCTGTTGTCACCAAGCCCTGCTCTGACTGGATAGTGGTGCGGGTGAGAAAAACTCACCCTGAGTGTGTCTGTTGTTCCTAAGGTACTGCCTTACCCATTAACCAACAAATGCAATGAGTTGCGTTTTGTGAAGACTAACGTGGCAGTTGTATCCAGAACAAACTGCCAGAATAAAGTGCAGGCAATCACAAAGGAAGTTCAATATCAGCAGACTAAGTTCAAGTCTAGTAACAGAACTTAATCTAAGGTGGTAGAAAGCAAGAATCAAAAAAGGGAAGACCACTGACTGGATGTGAGGGAGGTAGCAGATGTAATGATACTAAAATAAGAACAAAATAATTAGCAAAAATAAAAAGGATATAAACATGATGAAAAACAAATAATTTGAAGACTATAAGGTTATTGTTATATGTGGTGGTAACAGAAAGAAGTAAAGTTAATTTTCAAAATTTAGGTTATTATAAGGAGATTTAAAAGTAGATCTGAGTCTTTTCAGAAATTTGAGACATCAAACATGAAAACAGAAAAACAGACTTTAGCCTTATTTCTGATTTCCACCTATGTGTTTGGTACATTTAATCATAAAAATTAAGATAGAGTGATACTGGTTCAGGGACAGACAAGCCAACTGATGCAACACAGAAAGGTCAGAAACAGAACAACACATACATGGAAATGTAACTCTATAATTTATAACATAGCCAACACTGTGTATCAGTACTGAAAGGATAGACTTGTCAGTAAATGATGTAGTCAACAGTTGTGCATGTTGGGGGGTGGGGTGGGAGGGGTAAAGATGAACCTTACACTATACACCAATCAATTTCAGTGGACTCAACACATATATGAAAGGCAAAAGTACAAAACTTTTAGAAAACAACATATAAGCCCTGGCTGGTGTGCCTCAGTGGACTGAGCACCAGCCTGTGAACAGAAAGGTCACTGGTTTGATTCCCAGTCAGGGCATATGCCTGGGTTGCAGGCCAGGTATCTAGTTGAGGGTGTGCAAAAGGTAACCAACTGATGTTTCTCTCATACATTAATGTTTCTTTCCCTCTCTCCCCCTCTTTCTGAAAGGGAAGGAAGGAAGGGAGGGAGGGAGGGAGGGAGGGAATAACATAATAGTAGCATTCTGATGGCAGGGAAGAAACTAAGACACAAAAAGTAAAATCCACACAGGAAAGTAATAAATTCAGCTGCATTAAAATTAAGAACCTCTGTTCATCCAAAAATACTATGAAGAAAACTGAACTGACAAGAATACAAATCAGTAACCTAACAGAGAAAGAGTCCAAAGATAAGAACAGGCATTTCACAAAGGAAACATCAATGGACAGACACAGGAAACAACATGCAACTGCATTGGTAATTCGGGCAACCACACTGATTCATAACGATGTATTGTTTTACACATTCCAAATTTAAAGTTTTGCATAAGTCTGATAATAACAAATGATGGAGAGGATATGGAGCAAGTGGAATTCTTATCCTTGTCAATAGGAGTATAAATAGATGCAATATTTTAGAAAGCAATTTGGCATTATCTAGTCAAAATGATGTGCAGATACCCTTAACAATTCCACCCCTAGGTAGATACCCTAGATAAACTCTTATAGTATTTATTGATACATGTGCAGCAAGAAAACAAGAATAGACACATTTTTCTGTAACAACAAAACTAGGAAAAAAAAAGCACCCTAAATTGGAAAGTAACTGCAGTAAGAATCAAGAGAGGTAATTTATCTAAAAAAATAAACCACATAACAGTGAAAATAGATGAAATATAGTTGTATATAACATAGACCAATTTCAGTAATATGTTGAAATATAAGTCACAAAAATGCATATGTTATACACATATAATTCCATATATAGTTCAAATCATGCAATACATTGCTTAGGAATACAAACTTGATAAAGTGAAGAAAAGCAATGATAAACAACAGAATTGGGAATATAAGAAAAGGATAGGGTTAAGGACAGGAATATTGGGGATGTAAGAAATAATGGTAAAGTTCTAATTCTTAAACTAGGTAGCAGGTACATTCCAGGAATGTACCATGAATTGTGGTTTCTTAGATGCTACCTTCTATACATACTTTTTTTTTTTGCTAAAAAAAAAAGAGAGAGAGAGAGAGAGAAAGAAACTAAATGTAGATGTCACACATTTGTTCAATTCACCTACACCATGTTCCCTTCTAAATCAGATGGGTGCTTTCTATCTTTGATTCCTCTAGTTTCTGAAAAGAAATGACTGCTACCACACTAAATGCTTTGGTATATCTAGTTAAAAACAGCTGGGTCTACTGAAAGGAAAAGCAAATAAATTACACTGTTTTCACTGAGAAATAGTAATCTGGATACCACCAGTAAAATATGAAACCAATGAAAAAGCAATCAAGTAACTATATCACATAATTTCCCAAAACATGACATTTATAAAGGCAAAATAATAGTATGATTTTTAAAATGAACTTACCCTGAAATAAGTGAAGTTACAGCTGTTGAATAAATGTCACTCAAAAGCAGTCTCTTGGCTTTTTCTTACACAGCGGGCAACTTTCCTTTTGAATTCTCCATTTCTGTCTTCCCTCCATTCTTTCTGTAGGTACAGAAGTGGTATCAACTGGTTTTATGCAAATTTCTCTTATAATTTCAAATGTTAAGTTTACTTTTGATATAATGCTTTGGCAATATGTTAAGCTGACATGGTGGAAAAGTAGTCAAAAAAACACTTTTGCAAGGCACTGCTGGGATACTGGAGCAGAAATCCTCCAAGCAAATCACCTTTACAGGCAAAATTCTCTTTAAAAAGGGAAAAAATCATGAAGAACATTAACAGTTTTAATTATACTGAAAATAAAGGTACAACTTACAAATAAGATACTCAGGCTATCTGAAGGATTACCAAATCTCCCTGATGGAAGTGACCAGAAAACAAAAAAGATCTAAATACAAAAGTGCCTCTTGTATAAGTAGACAGGCGGAGTGCATCAAATGGAGATGATACTGAGCACTCAGCATCATCTACAACAGTATGAGAAGTATCATACTTCTATGTGTGTACATGAGTGTGTGGGGGGGGGAGGGGAACAACACGGTACCACTATTACTTACTGCTTGGCATGCAAAAATAGAACACAAAGCAGCACCAGCATAGTTTCACACTCGAGCACAGCCAATTTTTATCTACCAGGTGAATAGTTGGAAATTCCCATAAAAATGCCCAGCCTTTAGTATATCCATTTACAGACAGCAAAAACCATAGAAATCTCCAATCTTTGCTCTTACAGAGGAAGACATTAGAAAAATTAATTTTTGCCCTGCAAGCAAGGAAGGTACCACAGAAATCCAATATAAATTATGAGACAAACTATAATGCTAACATGTACAGAGACTGAGATGTATGCTGAAGAATTTATGGGTAAAATGTTATAAAGTCTGTAGTTACCTCATTATTTTAAGTAAAAGGAAGAAGACAGCATTTCTAAGCAAAGAGGGAAAGTCAATCTTAAGGAAAAGAAATCACTTAAAAATACCACTTAGAAGAGAGGATTAAGACTGAGAGCAGGGAGATCAGATAGAAAGGTGAGCTATTACAATAATGTAGGGAAGAAGTAAAAGGGACTCCAGTCAATGGCAGAGGGGTAGCAAGGGGTTTAGAGAGACTATACAATATGACTGACATTCTCTGGTAACTGAGATGAGACTGGGCAAGGATGACTTGTCCAGTAAAGGATAGACTGGTAGATGATCTTTCCAAAGCAGGAACTAGCTAATATAACCATTGTTTGTTGAATTCACTATGCCATTACCAGAGAGGTGATATTATCATCTGCGTTTTATATAAATAGGGAACCTATGAATAGGGCAAAAAACACATGTGTATCTTTTTGCTCTCCTGAGACCCTATTAAAATGATCTCATGGGATTTTTTTTTCTGAAGGTATAATGACGAGGAGATAGAAGAGTAATGAAACATGCAGCAGAGAAGAAAAAGTGAGAGCCTTAGAATAGGCTCAATGGAACCAGAACAAAGGAGGGAAAGAAGCTAGTAAACAGAACTCTAAAGAAGCTAAAGTTCGAAAATGGTAAACCTGAGAAGAGTTAGTAAGAAGTACAGCTGAAAATAAAGAAATAAAAAGTCTGTATTTTCCTCCCACTTATAACCAAAATTCTAGTATCTTCTTAAAATAATAATGATGATATACGGACTTGATATAAATATACTGTACTAAGGAATACAGCATATTTATATAAATTATACAGAATTAGATCTGCTAGTATGAGTATTGGTACTCAAAGTAATAACTTAATTTTGGCACTTAAATGATACCCCTTCTCTTAGTTTACTGTCTGGCTTGCTACCCACACTCTCTTCAGTGAAAAAATTCTGCGTGTGCGCGCACACACGCACACAGCTCCAATTGGCTTTCCTAAACCCTCATTTCTTAATCATGAAGAGTTACGTAGAAGTCCTACAGTGTTATGAACTAGTCTTCAAAATATAAAAGAAAAACTGACCTCAGAGGAAGAGACTTCAGAATTTAACTTTAAAAAATCTGATTAGAATTCCCAAGAACACTACTAAATTCTTTAGAGTGATAAGATCTTAAGAAAAAAGGAATTCATGAAGAAAAGATGAAGCATTTAAAAGTGAAAATGAGGATTCGACAGAAAATTCAAAATTGGCACTATTCTAGATAGAAAAAATACAAGGGATCAATTTTGGTTACAGCTACAAGTTCAAAAAAGTACAGAACGTCAAACATGAAAAAAATCCTCAAAATGACGATAAAGGAAAATTCACCATAGCTGAAGTCTTCAAAGTTACATCAATTAGAGAAATGGAAAATTTTTACATAATAATATGAAATTTCAGAAGACCAAAAATCCAGAAAAGGAGGGGAGGGAGGAAGGAAGGGAGGAAGGGAGGGAAACCTACAAATGGAGAAGAATCAACCTAGCATCAACTTTCTCATCAGTTAACAACAAATACTAAAGAGAAAGTCTGTAGAAATTTTATTTTCTCCCCTAGGATTCTGTAAACAAAGTGTGTAAGGTCAGGATAAAAATACTTTGAGACATGTAAGGACTTAATTTCCAGATACCCTTTCTAAAACATTACTCTGGAGGAAGAAGAGCAGAAGAAAGAAGTCCCCACCCCCCAAAAAAGGGGTGGTGGTGGTTGTGGGTCCAGGAAACAAATGATTCTATACAGAAGAACAGCAGAGGAGAAAGGAAAATTCAAGGAAAGCAGCCAAGCAACAGGCTGAATCAATTTAATTTGGAGCCAAAAATTGGAGGGATCTAGGAGAGAGATCTCCAAGAAAAGTGAGTTTCCTGGAATACATATCACTGATTAAGAGTTAGAAAAACAAACCAAAAATATATGAAAATATGATAAAAGGTATGCAATGCAAGACAAAGAAAGCAAGTAAGAAAGGTAAACATAACTGTTTACAAGAAACCTATAGTTTAAATATGAAACAGCTAACTGGTTAAATCAGAAAAAGCAGCAGTGGGTTTTGAGAAAAAAAAATGGGATAGATTTTGCACAGTCTGTGAAGTCAAGTTTGCATACTTCAGCTTTATTTTTTTATATATTTTTATTGTTGTTCAATTACAGTTGTCCCCATTTACTCTCTCCCATTACTCTCTCCTGCCCTACCCACCACCTACCCACCACCACATACTTCAGCTTTATACTGAGGCCTATTTCTACCCTTATGAAAATGTTTAGCATCAAGAGAATGACTACTTTTTCACTAGGTTCTGTTATTTCAGGACTCAGCTGTTTCAAAGAGGTAGTAATTTTTCCCCATTCACACGGTCAAGTATTTATTTGTTCTTAATTTCTCTTTCTTGAAGACTGAAATTCAACTTGTCAATTCCAATCTTACTAAAAAGAGCAGATAGTTGAGGATGAAACACTAACTACTTCTCTCTCAAAATGCTTCTACAGGATTTTTTTAAAGTGGCTTTTACCTCTCTCTCTTACTGCCTCTTACATAGTTTGAACTTACACTTGACTGAATAGAAAATTAGAATAGTGTTCTACCAGTTTTTACTTCCATCTGATTACTAAATGTAAAACTTCAAAGCCATAGATATGAATAGGGGTTATCTATGTAGTGTTTTTCTACATATAAGATCTCACCCAATTTTTATATAGGTTTGAAGTAACCCAAGAAAAAAACATGAATTTAATCATCTTGCTTTCATTTCATATACACTAAGAAAAGTTCCAAGAATGAGGGGAAAGAAAGGTTCTTCAAAGAAGATAGAAGGCTAATGAACTAAGACTATAAAAGAAGACTAATAAAACAAAATATAATATGAATATAAAATACAATGTGGGTTCTGAGAGTCTGGATTTTCAATACTAACCAAAAAAGGCAGCAATAAAGGACAATAATGGAGAAATCTGAGTATGGGCTACATACATATATTCAGTAATAATAGTACTACATCAGTGACAGACTTGTATTATGCGTATATGTTCTTTGGAGATATATGCTAAAGTATTCAAATATGAAGAGTTAGGATATCTGTAAAGCATTCTCAAACAGTTTGGCAAAAAGAACAAGAAAGTAAAATCTCTGAAATTAGTGAATCTAGGTGAAGGATATAAGAATTTTTATTTAACTAATGAAACTTTTTTATAGATCTGAAAGTTTTAACAATTAAAACTTGGGAGTAATAATATGGACTTGATATCAAATTTTCTTAGGTGTGACATGTCAGATGTTGTCCTTCTTCTTAAAAGATGCATGTTCAAGTATTTAGGATGATGCTTAGTTGTCTCTGTAACTTATTTTTGTATAGTATAGATGTAGAAAATAAATAAATGGATACAAATAGATATGTAGACACACACAGATAGACATACAAAGATACTATACTTCTCACTGAGTTTTAAGAGGAGGAAAGATATGCACGTGACCCTTACCGCAGCATCAACATTAGCAGGTGAGTCTCCATTAGGGTCTGCCAGCATAGAAATAACACTAATCATGATGGTTTCCACGGTGTGAATGGGGAGCCAGCGCTCCTCTGGTTTTTCATAGCCATATTTATCTTCACCAGGCTCATGAAGAATAGAAATGCATACATCACCATTTTTATCAACTGCAAAATTAGAAAAAAACAGTTCTGTTTAAAATATTTGAAATAATTTGGTTATACATAAGACATCTATTATCGATGTGGTCCTGATTCCCACAGTACCTGTATAAAACAATGAATATAAACAGAAGTTAATTTCCAAAACAGAACCTGTTAACCTTCTAGTAAGGCCACAGATTTTACCAAATAGGATCCATCTGACTAATCCAATAGAATGTAAGCTATCTTTTTCAATTGGGCAAAACTTCAAGATACCTAGCATGTAGATGTTGTCTAGCATTTACATGTAGTAAATATAGCAATAAGGTTTTGTTCAATGTTCTTTCTTTATAACATAGATGAAATGCCATAGAAAATTAAGTCTTCTTTTAATTAATTTGCCCATGGGAGAACTGGATTTGTTATCTGTCATTTAGCTTAAAGGTGCAGAACCTATTGATGATGTTAAGTGAGGGCTTACTGTACAATGAAATTAATAAATGGCAACTACTGAACTATTCTTTATTTGTAGAAAGTATATGATCCAGACACCAGAAATGAGTTTTCATGTAATGATTTCCTAGTTTCTCCACTAACTTACTAATTTAAATGAGTAACAGTTAAAGGTCCAAAGATTTATCTAAGGGGGAAAAAAAAAGTACCACCATAATGTACTTTTTAAATCAAATAATGGCAAAATTATTTTCGGGGAAAGGAGCATACTCAGATTCATACAAGAAACATGCCATATTGCCAGTGAAAATTCATCAACTCTACTAACTCATTTAAATTAATAAACCTATAAAAAATTCACTAATGTGCCCTGGCTGGTGTGGCTCAGTAGATTGAGTGCTGGCCTGAGAACCAAAGGGTCACTGGTTCGATTCCTGGTTAGGGCACGTGCCTCCGCCAGTAATCAGTTTTATATCTTTTAAGATTTTATTTATTTTATTTTTTAGACAGAGGGGAAGGGAGGGAGAAAGAGAAGGAGAGAAACAACAATGTGTGGTTGCCTCTCATGTGCCCCCTGCTGGGAATATGGCCTGCAACCCAGGCATGTGCCTTCAGCAGGAATCAAACTGGCGACCCTTTGGTTCGCAAGCTGGCACTTAATCCACTAAGCCACACCAGCCAGGACCACTAGTCTTTTTTAAAAAAGGATTTTATTTATTTAGTTTTAGAGAGAGGGAAAGGGAGAGAGAAGAAGAGAGAGCAACATCAATAAGAAACATTGCTCTTGCCTCCTGTGTGCACCTGCAATCGGGGACCAAACCCATAACTTAGGCATGTGCCCTGACTGGGAATTGAACCAGTGACACTTCACTTTGAGGGACAATGCCTAACCAAATGAGCCACACTAGTCAGGGCTCACTAATATATTATAGCGTAATTTTCTCCACAGCAAAAGAAAGCATACTAACTGTGGAAATATTGAAACTGTGGAAATATCAGAAGAGACAAAATTTTTTTTAAATGTATGTAAAAATGTTTTTCAACAAAATTTCAAAATCCCATAAATAATCAATGGTGATATCTATGTATATTTCAATCCTAACTTTTTACCTCAAGTCTAACAATTTGTTTTTAGATTATTAATTTATTTTTAGAGAGAAGGGAAGGAAGGGAGAGAGAGGGAGAAACACCATTGTGTGAGAGATACATAGATTGGTTGACTCCTGCATGCCCCAAACCAGGGACCTGGCCAGCAAACCCAGGCATATGCCCTGACTGGGAATCAAACCGATGACCTTTCAGGAGGTTGGCACTCAATCCACTGAACCACACCTGTCAGGGCACGAATTTTGATAGGTATAATTTTAAAGCTCATTTTTCATCTCATAACTTAAACATTTCCCTGATGTTATAAACTCTGGGTAACCAAAATCAAAGTTTATATGTATTCCTTGCTCTATGACAAATAGTTCTTGAATGCATGTGTATGCAAGGCACCTACTGAACGTAAGAAGATAAGGCAGTGCATGTGACAGACTAAGTTCGTGCCTTCACTGTCTTGTAAATCAACTTTTCTATAATTAAGGGTCTTCTTCTCTAACCACCCCTACCTCCTAGTAAAATCTATTAACAAAAATGGAATAAGTAGATCAAGAGGCAAGAATAACAAAATTTGTAACAGCATTATAAGTTCAACATAAAATGCTTATACAGTATTAAGATGCTTTCTTTACTCATTACATAAGGATTTTGTCCAACTCATTTTATTTGAAAACATGATATTAAATGTTTGTACAGAATTCTATCAGAGAATCGATTTAAGATTATTTTCCTTTTTTAGAAATGATCATCATTATCTAGTGTCTTCAAATTTTTACCTTGTGACATTTCATTTTAAACATAATTAAATTTTTTAGAATGAGAGGTTTTTAGGTCTAATATCTGTTGACCAATTACATTTAAAAATGTATATTGCCATCAGCAATACCTGAGGTTAACAGTTCCCATTGCCTGTTCACTCAAAATTAAGATTTTTCTTTTTTTAAAATATTTTATTTATTTATTTTTAGAGAGGGAAAGGAGGGAGAAAGAGAGAGAGAGAGAGAGAGAGAGAGAGAGAGAGAGGGAGAGGGAGAGGGAGAGGGAGAGGGAGAGGGAGAGGGAGAGGGAGAGGGAGAGGGAGAGGGAGAGAGAGAGAGAGAGAGAGAGAGAGAGAGAGAGAGAGGGAGAGGGAGAGAGAGAGAGCGAAACATCAATGTGCGGTTGCTGGGGGCCATGGCCTGCAACCCAGGCATGTGCCCTGACTGGGAATTGAACCTGCCACTTTGGTTCATAGCCCGCGCTCAATCCACTGAGCTACGCCAGCCAGAAAATTTTTCTTTATTGATAACTTTTAAATTTCATAGGTGAAATCTAGTTTAACTTTTCTAAATGCTTTTGAGGGGTGAAAAGTTTTCATGTATAGAAACTATACATGCTGTATACCTGAAACTAACACAAAATAATACTGCATATAAACTGTAATTGAAAAATAAAATTTAAAAAATTTACTGAAAGGCAAGGAAAGTAGGAAAAGTCATCAAAAGGAAAGAAAGAATAAAAAAACTGTTAGGAGTGAAAAAATAACTATGAATTTCCTCTTCTATAAAACGTCTGTTCTTATTCTTTACTCATTTATGTACTCAGTGTTTAGTTTTTACTTGCTAAACTGCTTAATTTTCCCCATTTAATTTTTGTCTATTACTTTTTCATTTCAATGTTTCAATAATGTCCTTTATAGCTGGCTTTATTACCTTACACAAGATCCATTTAAGAATCCTATATTGCATTTAGTTGCCATTTCTCTTTGCACTTTTTTTAAAGATTTTTAATTTATTTTTAAAGAGAGGGAAAGGGAGAGAGAAAGAGAGGGTGAGAAACATCAATGTGTGGTTGCCTCTCATGTGCCCCCTACTGGAGATCTGGCTCACAACCCAGGTATGTGTCCTGACTGGGAACTGAACCTACGCCCCTTTGGTTTGCAGGCCAGCACTCAATCTACTAAGCCACACCAGCCAGGGATACACTCCTCTTTTTAATCCTTCAATATTTATTGCTTTGGAAACTAGAAAATTCTTATCCCCAACACCCAGCAAACAACTGATATTCACTACTATTTTTTTAATCACTTGAAACTTTTTATTCCATTTAGAGTTTTAGCTCACTTTGCTGTTTGGTGTGAAGAAAATTTCTAAATCAATTTCCTCATAAACAGCTAACTAATAATCTGGGCATCAATTACTGAACAGAAAACATATCTCTTCTTCCATCTTAAAACTAAACTACCTGAACCATACAAACCCCTCAAGCAATCTATTTCTTAAAGTTGTGCATCTAAAATTAATGAAAGTCCAATTTACTCTCATCTTCTCTATTTATTTACTATTTGGGTACTCTCTTTTCCTTATTGGAAACTGGCTTGTGCCCCCTATCAGGATGCTATGACTATTCTCACAAAGTAGTCTGAGAACATATTCTCCTGAGTACTTCTAAAGTCAACCCTTCTGGGCCAAAATAACTGACCCTGTTGAGGACACCTTCCTGGACACATTTTCTTCCCTTGGTTTCTGTGATACACTTCTTTTCCTCAGTTCCTGAGCTATTCTCTCACTTACTTTCTAGTTTTCCTTTTCCTTGGTCTGACTTTTGATGTTGTCCTTACCTCCCACAATAATCATCTCTTCCCTGGGTAAATTAATTCATTTGTTCTATCACAACATTACCCATCTTCCTCGGCCACCCCTGGCTTTACTGAAATGTAATTAACACAACACTGTGCTATACACATTACCTGTCATCTTGATGCTAATAACTTCCAAGGCCCTGAGCTCACTGCTTGGACTAGTACCTAATTATCTAACTGGATATATAGCGAGTATATCTCAAGACAACAAATCAAAAACTGAATGCATTTAAACTACACAAAGCTAACCTTTACCCTAGAGTAATTTTTATCACAGTCTTATTGAGATATAATCCATGTATTTTAAGTGCAGAATTTAATACTTCATAGTATGTTTACAGAATTGTACAACCATCACCATAACCAATTTTAGAACATATTCATCACCCCAGAAAAAAACTCTATACACATTAGCAATCACTCCCCATGTTTCCCCAATGTTCCCCCACTCCTCAGGCCCTAGGCAACCACTAATGTACTTTCTTGTACTTTCTACCTCTATGGACTTGCCTATACTAAACATTTCATGTAAACAGAATTACACACTATGTGATCTTTTGTAACTGGCTTTGTTCACTTAACATAAGCTTAACAATGTCATCCACACTGTAACATGTGTCAGTATCTCATACCATTATATCGACATTACATTTTGTTTTTCTACTCAAAAACTGAAAATCATTTGGGTTGTTTCTACTTCTCTGGCTATGTCTAATGCTGCTATGAACATTCACATACAAGAATTGTGTGGGCATATTCAAGTTTCTTGGTTATCTAGGAATGGAATTGCTGGATTATAAAGTAACTATGTTTAACCTTTTGAGGGCGTGCCAGACTATTTTCCAAAGTGGCAGCACCATTTCACAATCTTGCCAGTAGTGTATGAAAGCTGTAATTTCTCTACATTCTCAACAACACCTGTTTTTTTTAAATATTTCTTTTTGAAAAGTTTCTTCTTTTTTAAAAATTTATTTTTAGAGGGGAGAAGGGAGGGAGAAAGAGAGGGAGGGAAACATCAATGCATGGCTGCCTCTCCTGCATCCTCTGCTGTGCATCTAGCCTGCAACCCAGGCATGTGCCCTGACTGGGAATGGAACCAGCAACCCTTTGGTTCGCAGGCCAGCACTCAGTCCTCTGAGCCACAACAGCCAGGGCCCAACGCTTGTTTATTACCTGTCTTTTTCCCATTGCAGTGAGATAATGTGTTATTTCACTGTGATTTTGATTCTACAATTGTTTTGTAAATGGTCCATCTATTCTAAATTCTTACCTCTCCATTACCACCCATATCTGGTAGTCAACAAGTAAGAATAACTAAATTTTCCTCCCTGTCACTGCTCTTAGTTCAAACTTTGTCCCTTACTGGAACCACTGAAAAAATCCTCATCAACCTCCTGGCTATCCGTCAGCCTTCCCCTTCCAACTTTCCTTCATGAGTACAATCTTTTTAGAAGAAAATATAGTCACAATAAACCTATAAAACTTTAATGAGTTCCCACAGCCTAAAGAACAAAGTTCGAGGCAGGTATTTACATATTCGAATTTCTGTTCAAGAACCGTATTCTCGGAGAAGCACATGGCTGCAGCCATGTAAGGAGGACCATGCACTTTTGGCACAGGGGACACCCCCCCCCGCCCCTGCCGCCACCCCTGCAGCCATAAGAAGAATCACCATGCAGCTTTAGCAAAGAATCACCACGTGGCTTTAGCAGAGAACCACCACGCAGCTTTAGCTAGAGATCCTGGCAACACAATCGATGGTGTTGGGAACCGAGGAAGGCCTACCAGCCGAGCACGGAACACTGGGAAGAACTGGGAGCTACCTGAGCCACGGACTTCTATTTCTTTTCCTGAGATATGCTCCAGGCCCAGAAAAGCAGCAAAACCAGACAAGCAATGCCACGGCTAACCTCAGGACCAGCAGCATCAACTAAAGGTCCCTGACCAGGAGCCGACCAATCAGTGCAGACCATGGCCCTGAAAGAACACACCTGTAAGGCTGATGAAAAATCTATAGGATCCTCCTCCCCTGGGACCTCCAGAGCAAACACACTCTTGGCTGGTCTTCCTGGGAGAAAGAGGAGTGCCGGGGTTGAGGTTGGACAGTTGCCTTGAAATCCATCAAGTGCCTGCATTATTAAAAATTCCTGGCATCTATCTCATTGACATTGTTCACTTTGTTAACAATACTTATAAAAAGGAAGCTTGAAACAATAAGCTGCTGATAAACTGTGTACCATAATCATCACAATGAAAATACATTAAATTGACTCGTTCTCTGGCCTGGTTTTAACCAGAGGCAGGGAGTTGGCAACCTGCCTTTAGAGTTCAGTTTTCATCATGTATCTTCGCAGGCTCAGTGTGCGTTTTGATTTTTGGGTTTTGGACACCTCCCTGGTTTGAGGCTTTAAAACAGAGCCTAATGGTGTGTTATATTCTTATAAAAATTTTACCTTTTTTTTGCTTTTGATTATACTTTAAGTTATTTGTGGGTGCACAGTCTCCTAAATGGAAGAGGGCTTAAATTTTAATGTGTATTCTAATTTTGAAGTATATTTGAAATTTAAGTATCCAGTCACAGAACAATGTGTCACGAACACTGGCACATATGTGTGTGTTACTGTTCGGTGGCCGGAAAAGCCAACCGGGAAGGAGCAGATATCAAACTGGACAAAGCCCTCTCACCTTGGTGGGGATGTACAATCTTGGCAAAAATTTTATACAAGACAGTGGCTAAGATTCAGAAGCGACTAGCAAATTCTGGAACTTAATCCGATTTTCTTTGGGAACTCATGTGTACATTGTAATTACTACATAGGAGCTTAAGGCCTAAAACAAAACCTTCCAAATGACAAATGTTTTCATTGGGAGCAGTGGTACCCAAACACTGTTGGACAAATGAATGGAATAAATTTTATGGAATTGGAGTTTTATGGAATAAAAAATTGGAAAATTTATTTTCCAATAAATAAATGGAATAAAAATTACCATAGGCGTACACTAACAGAAAAAAAAAAAAAGAACCATATTCTCTTTCTCTTCTATGCTACCAATACCTTGTAACTAACATCACTGTAATTTCTCTGTTTCACCATTAAGTTCACATGTCCACCTTTGCATTATAGAGGCCATAATATTCTTATAGAAAGAGACCATAACTCAATCATCTTTATATCTCCAGTCCCTAGCAAATAGTCACATGCCCGTTTTTCCTCTTATTCTTATTTCAAAATGACTTTTCACTCTTATCCTAGTCTAACTCTTCCTATACTTTCCATCATTGCCCCATCTCCTCCTCAGTTATCTTTTCTTCACAAAGGATCTCCTCTCTCAAATCAAGTCTTAATTATTTCACTCTCTCATGCCTTCTGCTTTATGGCCTACAAAACAAAAAGGTCTCTTCAATCTTAAAAAAAAACAAACAAAAAAACCCCACATACCTCATACCATCAGTTACCCTCTTAAACTACCTAGGCCACTGCTATCCTCAGATAGAAAATAGATTTTCTGCTATTTAACAGAAAAGAAGTGTCAGGTACTGCATACATATGTGCTGTCAGTTAATTCTCACAGAGAAACTAAGGCTCAAAGAGGCTCTGTCCTGAATTATACAGCTAGTCTGGTGCAGCAACAGTCAGCAGCTCTGTCACGTCTTCTTTTGGAGATTTTCATTTATTTACTTTTAGATAGGGGAAGGAAGTAGGAAAGAGAGGGAGAGAAACATTCATGTGCAAGAGACATACCAATCGGCTACCTCCCACACACCCCCAACTGGGGACCTGGCCGACAACCCAGGCTTATGCCCTGACTGGGAATGGAACTGGCAACCTTTTGGTTTGCAGGCTGGTGCTTAATCCACTGAGCCATACCAGCCAGGGATCACGTCTTCTTTTAAAGTAGGTGTAAAGAGATTGCTTATTACACATCAAGTAATTCAAATGAAGCAGGAGAAACTGCCAACAAAAGGCTAGGAATAAATAAAATAAATTTCAAAGAAACAAGAGGTGAAATGTCATTAATTCGTGTATCCATACTTAATGTAGGATCATTGTTAATGAATTCTCCCACAAATAAATTGTAAAAGGATATTTTTCTCCCTTCTTACTTAAATTGTTAGAGAAATGTTTTTATTCCTTCCTAACAAAAATAGCTGTGCCTTTTGTAATCACTGCTATCTTAAGTGCAATAAAATATGGTAGGTTCCCTCGGTTCCCAGTAGTTTTCCATTTGCTAGTTCTAGTCTTTCACAGGACCCATCTGTTTTTCAAGCCTTTGGGTTGTAATACATACTCCCTATCCATGCAATAATGCCTTAATTTATTAATAATCCATTACTATCTTACTGATTTTTGTTTAAACTAATAAAGGTTTTCTTCCTTGCAACCAGAAGAACCTAACTTTAAGAAACAAAATGCAGGTTATGTAGTAGTATAAAAAGACAGCTGAGCCCTGACTGATGTGGCTCAGCTGGTTAGGCACTGTCCTGCAAAGCAAAAGGTCACAGATTTGATTCCCAGTCAGGACACATGCCTGGCTTGTGGGGTTGGTCCTCAGAAGGAGGGACATGTGACAGGCAACCAATCAATGTTTCTCTCCCCTTCTCTAAAATAAATGAATGAATGAATGAATAAATAAATTCTTTGAAGAAAATAGAAAGACAGCTGATTACAAAATACTTAGAAAACAAATCCTTGTAAGCTCACACAAAACAAGGCAACAAGTTCAAGGAGACTGTATATAATAAACATGACTTATCTAGCTTAACCTTTGGCTCACAAAGTAGATTTTAAAGGATAGCACTTCCTTAGGTAAAACAACCAATGTCTCTATTTCATGAACAGCAGTACTAGGTGCTTTCCACCAATTAAAGCATACAGAATTTTACTTCATTTGACATTCTGTCACCTTATGAGGAAGGTAGGGCATTCCTTTTTTTATAGCTAAGAATATAGATAAAAAGGTCCAAGAGCTAAGAAGAAAAAATATAACGAAACAATCCAGGTTTAATTACTTCTGTGCTTTTTGTAATAGCCAAAGAGTCACTTAATGCCTTCGAAATTATGCCCTTACCCTCACTGGTGTGGCTCTGTGGGTTGAGTACTAGCCTGCAAACTGAGAGGTTGCCAGTTCAATTCCCAGTCAGGGCACACATCTGGGTTGCCGGCCAGGTCCCCATTTGGGGATCTTCAAGAGGCAGCTGATTAATGTTTCTCTTGCAAGTTGATGTTCCTCTCCCTTGCTTGATCCCCCCTTCCCTTTTCTCTAAAAATAAATTAATCAATTTTAAAAAATGTTTTCAATTGTAAGAGTTCTACTGATGCTGAATCTCTTATCACCCACCAAACCTGCCTGTAGTTTGGAACATCATAAGCCACATCATGAGACTCAAAGAACTGAAAACTAAGTAAATAAATATAAAGCTATTTTTTCACATGATCTGTTACTCCTCTCATCTAAAGAACCTAATAATGCACAGCCATGCACATAAAAAAAACAGTGAACTTAGTGTAAAAATTCCAAAGCAATTTCATTGAGAACTACATCTTTCTTAATGACCTTGAAAACTTCAGTGATAGACCATCACATTTGTAAATGTAAAAGTAAAACTAGGTAACTTACCATTTGGGTGCCAGATTTCTGTAATGAATTTCATTTTGGGAGGCCGGAGGGGATAATCTTTTGGGAAAGTGAGATGAGCCTTAAAAACACCACCTTCACTGGAAAAAAAACAAAAACAAAAACGAGTTCTTGCCTATAAGTTCCTGCTTATAAGTAGACAATTATTAAACAAACATAAAAACAAGGATGCTAGTGCTAACAGTATAAATTAAGTAAATAATATGGATTTCAAGCAGTCTACTTACTCAAATACCCAAGTTTAAAAACTGTCATACCTACCACCTTATTAATAAAACCCTCACAAAACTAGTAAAATGAAATAGCTTAAAAAAGGCATCCAAATCAGATCACATTATTGCTGTGCTACAAATCTATCACTTCCCACTGCACTTAAAATAAAACTCACAAAGTTTAACATTGCCTATAGTGTTCAAATTGCCTAATCTCAAATCATTACTCTTCTTTCTGTTCTAGCCAGTCTCCTTTCTGTTCTCCAAACACAATGAGCACATATATTTTGTGGGGGCAGTGCACCCAACCACAAGAAATAACTTTTCATGGACAAGCCAAATTGGCAGCCAAGAGCAAGGCTCCTTGTTTAAAGTCAAAATGATGGAATATGAATATCCTGAGCCCACAGCCTCTCATTAACAGCACAACTACAACTACATATAGAACAGCTATCTCTGATAACAACCTGAAAACTAGCAGATTTTCTACTAGTAGGGACAAAGAAAAAGCCACACCGAAGGTGTAGAGGTGTAGAGACTAAGGGTAGGAGGTGTAGAGACTAAGTCCAGTCAGGACCTACCCTGTCCCCACACTCCCCATGTGGTAACTCACACAGTGGGAGGGATATCACAAAACTGCAGAGGTTGTCCCCAAAGAGTGTGGGGTCCAAGGCCTAGCCTGGGGGACCTGCACCAGGAAGAGGAACTCCCATAACATCTGGCATTGAACACTAGTGGGGCTTAGGTCTGAGAGAGCCAACGAGTTGAAGAAACCCAGGTTGCACTATTTTTGAATCCCAGCACAGAGGTAGCAGTTTGAAAAGAACCTACATACACTGACTGATTTTAGGGTGCATGCTGGAGGAACAGAGATGCACTGAACTTTCTCTTGAGTCATAGGTGCTGATGGGTGCCATTTCTCCCCTTTCTTTAACCTAGCTGTTTTGACAGGAGCAGGCGCCATGTCTAACACTCTCCATTAACCTTTCCAACACTGTTCACCCCATCCTGGCATTTTCCTGAGGACCCACCCAGGCTAGCACCCCTCTAAAGAGGCTCCTGCCCTGCCACACCCAGTGGGCAGCCTCAGTAGGCACTAGCACACAGCACTGCATCTGCAATAGCAGGGTTGGGCCTACCAGCCAACCACACTGAGGGCCTGACCTGTGTACCAGTGAGCCCGCAGAGAAGCAAAAGCTAAAGGAGTTCATCACCACTAAACCAGCATTATAAGACATGTTAAAGGTTCTTTAAATTGAAAAGAAAAGAATAAAACTAGAAATAAGAATATATATGAAATAAAAAGAAATCTCACTAGTAAAGGCAAACAGATAATAAAGACATTAGACCAGCCACTTATAAATTTAGTATAAAAATAATTGAAATGGCCATAAGTACATATTTATCTAAAATTACTTAAAATGTAAATTAACTACATGCTCCACTGAAAAAAAATGACTGAATGAATAAAAAAAAAAAAAACCCTTACATTTGATGCCTATGTGAGACTTCAGATTGAAAGACACACAGACTGAAAGTAAAGGGATAAAAAATTTAATTCATGAAAATAGAAACAAACAAAAAGCTGGGATAGCAATATTTACACAAAACAAAATAGACTTTAAAACAAAGGCTATAACAAAAGGCAAAGAAGGAATCAGCAATTCTACTTCTGGCACATATCTGAAGAAACCTAAACACTAATTCAAAAAGATATATGCACCCCTACGTTCACTGCAGTGTTCTTTACAATAGCCAAGACATGAAAGCAACCTAGGTGTTCACCAACAGATGAATGGATAAAGAAGAAGTTGAGATACATGCATAAATATTGCTACAGAGAGGGGGGAGTGGGAGGAGAGGGACGGGGAGAGGGAGAAATATTACACAGCCATGAAAAGATTGAAATTTTGCCATTTGTGACAACATGGGGAGACCCAGACAGTATTATGCTAAGTGAATTAAATCAGAGGAAGACAAATAGTATTTCAATTCACTTATGTGTGGAACCTAAATAACTAAACAAATGAATGAACGAAACAAACAGAATCATAAATACAGAAAAACTGGTAAGTTACTAGAGGATTGGGTGACCCTGGGAGTGTGGGCAAGAAGGTGAAGGGGATTAAGAGACACAAACTTGTCCTGGCTGGCGTAGTTCAGTGGATTGAGCGCGGGCTGTGTACCAAAGCATCGCAGGTTCGATTCCCAGTCAGAGCACATGCCTGGGTTGCAGGCCACGGCTCCTAGCAACCACACATTGATGTTTCTCTCTCTCTTTTTCTCCCTCCCTTCCCTCTCTAAAAATAAATAAATAAAATCTAAAAAAACACAAAAAAACCCCCTCACAATTAATGCTGAAGATCTTTGAAGAGTAGGCTTAAAAAAAAAAAAAGAGAGAGACACAAACTTGTAACTGTAACATAAATAAGCCACTAGGATGTGAAGTACAGCATAGGGAACACAGTCAGTAATATCACAGTAACTTTGTGCGGTGACAGGTCCATAGCAGACTTTTTGTGATCACTCTGTAAGGTATATAAATGCAAAATCTCACTATGTTATAGACCTGAAGCTAATATAATATTGTATGTCAACTATACTTTAATTAAAAAGAGCTATCCATTGCACACACACACAAAATTAGACATCAGACCAAAAAAAAACCCACAATAAGCTCTTTCTCATCTCAAGAGTTTAGGCACATTTCATCTAGAAACAGATGTGCTGACCTTCCATTCTTCCATCCATTTACTTATCATTTACAAATATTTATTCAGCTTTTGTACTTGTCAGACACTAAGAGTACAGCAATGAACAAAGTATAAAGTCTCTCAAGTAGTTTATATTCTAGTGACTTTCCAAACCACTGCTGTACAATAAATAGAACTGTCTATACATTGGAGATGTTTTATATTTGTGTGGTCGAATATAGCAGCCATCAGCCACTCAAACTATGGCTAGTGAAACTGAGGAACTGAATTTTAAGTTCCATTTAATTTTAAGAGCCATATGCAGGCAGTGATTACTGCTTATTAGTGCAGTTCTAAGCACTGCAATTTACTTAGGAAGTGTGCTTGAAGGATTATCAAAATAATACAATGAGCTGTGTATGTTAACCATGAAAACCAATGAGATGAAGTCAACCTTATGAAGCAAAAAATGACTAAGTTCCTGCTTTGTGTCCTTGGTACTAGCTGTATCTTCTGTTTGAAATACCCTTCTCCCTTTGTCATTCAGAATTCAACTTAAATGTTACCTCTTGAGAAAGATTTTACCCCATTACCTGATTTTAACAGGCCACTGTGGCTCACTATCACACTGACAAATTTACTGCAATAGCAATTCACATATCAGATTTTCTTACTATTCAATGCACATACCATCAGAGCAGGGTAATAGGATTGTGTTTGTTTCAGATCAGTAAGAAATAGAATTCTAAGCTCAGTGAATAATTTTCATTCACTGAACAAATATACATTGATAATCTACTTGTCTGAGACACTGTTCTAGGTAAATGAATATAACAGACCAAGAAATTAAAGAGCACTGGTTTCATGGCACTTACCATTCTAGGTCAAGAGGAAAACATCAAGAAAAATATCAGTAATAAGCATGGAATAATATAAGCAATCTACTGTTAAATTTTTAAAAAACCTATTGGATAAACCTATTTGTCTTTAGAAGAAGTAAAAGTGGGGGTATGTTTATATGCAAATAGAAATATATCTGGAAATATAACACTAATACATAACAATGGTTAATTCTGGAACATAAGATTATGGGATCTTTTATTTTCTGCTTTGTACATTTCAGTATAACTTCACTTTTTAACCACAGCAAGTATTAATTTTTATCACCCTTTTCTGAACATAAATACAAATTGAGGGAAAGGCTAATAAAAAAGAGGTAAATCATTAGTACCAAATAGTCTTGAATACAGAAAATGCCACTGGACTCAAGTATAAAAAGTAATCTTGAATGTCATGAGTGGTGTGGATCAGTGGGTTGAGCATCATCCTGCAAACCAAGGTCACCTGTGCAATTCCTGGTGAGGGCACAGGCCTTGGTTGCAGGCTGGGTCCCCAGCTCGGGACATGTGAGAGGCAACTGATCAATGTTCCTCTTACACATCACGCTTCCCTCTCTCCTTACCTTCCACCCTCTCTAAAAATAAATAAATAAATAATCTTGGGGGGGGGGGGGCCGACAACTAAAAAGTAACCTTGAAACCTTGGCTGGGTAGCTCAGTTGGTCAGACCATCATTCCAATGTGCCCAAGGTTACGAACTCGATCCTTAGTCAGGGCACATACAAAAATCAACCAGGGAATGTATAAATAAGTGGAACAACAAATCGATGTTTCTCTTTCTTTCTCCCCCTACCCCCATCCTCTCCCTCTAAAATAAGTAAATCAAAAAATAAATAACCTTGATAATACAAGTTTGGTAAAAGGAATAGAAAAACAACTGCAAAGGACCAAAGAAGGAATGAGGTGGTAAAGTACAAGCATAACAAACAGAGCAATTTGGGGTTAACAGTTAAAGAAGATGGGAAAAGAGTACAAATGGAAATCTTTAAAAGAGGGAGGCAACACCTTAGTTGGTATAGCTCAGTGGATTGAGTGCTGGCCGAAAGGTCACCAGTTTGATTCAACTCCCAGTCAGGGTGCATGCTTGGGTTGGGCACCAGGTCCCCAGCTAAGGGCATGTGAATGGCAACTCATCGATTTATCTCTCCCTTTCTCTCTCTTCCTCCTTTCTCTCTCTCTAAAAGTAAATAAATAAAATCTTTTTTAAAAAAGAGAAAAGACTAGTTTGCAAGTAAATGGGAAGATGCTGGCTGAAAGACTACAAAAAAACTCAGAA